AGAAGACTGTGTTGCTTTCACTAAGCTATAGAAAGTTAAGGGAAAAAAATACTGTAATGATTTTCATTAGATTTAGACTCTCCCGACTGACTGGTTTTATACTCACTTTCTTCCAAGTCATGCAAGTTACAGCACTGAGAACTGCCGTGTGGAGGTGTCAGCATTTCATGTCCCATCTTTCCTCACCATCACTAAGTACAATGATTTCCCTTCACACAGTTGAGTCAGCCTCTTTTTGTATCTGTTTTGTGTTTACAGCTGGTGAAAAAAATAAGCTTGTATTTATGAACCAACTAACCTCTGGACACCTGCTGTAGGATAGGCACCACACAAAATTGTGAGGACTCAGAAAAGAATCCGATATGTCCATGGTCCCAGGGATTCTCCATCTAGGGAGCAAATCAAATAGACCAGTAGAGCGACATGTGCAAGGCATGATGGGAGTGAGGTGGAGAGATGCCCATGGCACTCACTTCTGCCTGGGCGAGGTGGTGGGACTGAGGCTCTTCATAGAGAAGGTTAGGTTTGAGTTGGACCTGAAATACGGATTGTAATTCATTCAGCACACAAGAAGAGAAGGAAAATTAGAGCAGCACAGATAGCAGTGGTATGTATGAAGGCTCAGAAATATGGAAAATATGGTGAGTTTGAAGAGGTACAAATGGCTTTTGAAATGGTTGGAAAGCAAGCAGAGTTGGTCTCCAAGCTTACCAGCTAAATATTAGCCCTGAGCTCAGAGCATGGGTGGGGAGGACAGGTGTCTGGAAAAATAAATTAGGGTTAGATCACAAAGGGTCTTGTATGTCATGACAAGGATCTGGGCTAGAGAGAGATATCTCTAGAGAGAGATAGTGTGTGTGTGGGGTGGGGTGTGCATGCACGGTGTGTGCATGTGCACTTATGCATGTATGTGTGTGGGCACATGAGCCCATGTATGATGGGAGTGTGGCTTCACTGAAGAATTTTAAATTAATGAATAAAAACTGTGTTCGATCAAGAGCTTTTCCACTAATACTGGCCAGTCTTTTCTACCTAATGCACTATTTTTCATCTTTAAGCAGATTGTCCTGGAATGTCCTTGCTGGAAGCCATCTTGTTTAGTTTAATCCACTCCTCCTTGTTATTTTAACCTAAGCCCAGGTAACGAAGGCCAAGATTTTAATTGTCTCTAGTGTCAGGCAGTACGGGGCTGGTGTTGATTTTAGAAGGTCCTGGAGAGTGAGGGGAGAAAAGCAATGGAGTTTGTGCCTCCGAGTATTTCCAGTCTTTGTGCTTCCAGCTCAGCATTTCTGGAGCACTTTACAGCAGGCTTTGTAAAGATTTAGTTGAAAATCAACTTATGGATTCCTTCCTAATTGGCTTGGCCAGGTTTAATCTGTTATTGGTCAAGCCAAGCTGGCTTCTATTATGCAGTGCACTGGGGGTTCTCAGGGACGTTCTTATCCTAATGGAGGCTGGCTGTTTTTAGAAGCAAATCGTGGTGTTGATGAAGGCCGGTATCATTGTGTCCTCTGAAGTGAACCCAGAAGGACACCCATCTGATACAGCATTTAGGTCTTTGACTAAAAAGAAAAAGTCTTGGATTTGGCATGTGTATGCTAGAGGGTTAGAGTTTTATAACTTTTTTCTCCACAAGATAAAACAAAGCTTCCTATTTGTTTCTGCCTCTTTGGGCTGATTCCTGGAAATGTGCAGTGTACCCCCTCTAAGCCGGAAGCACTTGCAGCTTAGAACATCTGCAGAGAGGGGCTCCTGGTGGCCTCGGGTACCCTGAGGAATACTGGAACAGGGACGGGGGTGTCCTGTCACTGCAGACCTGGAACCACTGGCCTTTGCTGAGCCCACCCCCTTGAGGTCATCCAGTGCTGGACACACAGACTTACATGACAAGGAGAAAAATAAGAACTATGTCATGGCCTTGGGGTAATTCAGGCACACCGTGAGCATTTAGCCACCACTGAAAGCCGTTTATGTAGACCCAAGAGAGACCAAAGGGAGCCTGTGGGTCTGGAGAGTTTATGAAGGTAAAAAAGCAAACCATCAGGGCAACCCCAGGGAGAGGGCTCATCTCTGTCCCTGGAGATCACGTGAAGGAAAGGAGAGTGAGTGCACAGTCCTATTTTCCTATTTCCTGGAAGACCCTTGGTGTCTGGGTGCCATTTGCACAAGTATGGTGAGGGCATTCTGTCTACATTTACAGGGTAACCTGCCCCTTCCTCCCCTTACCAGTCTCCTTGCGAGGCCCTTGTTGGGGCTTTGGAGAGTTTGCATGGTTTTGCTTGAGGAAGTCACTGGCAAGAAGAAGAACACTTGCCCTGTAGAACTGAGCTCATTAGAATCAAGAAGACCAACTTAGAAGGCCATAAGTAAAGCCACGTTCATATATATGCTTAAACACAGACATGCAATTTACAGGTTTTAGAAAACTAGTCTAACATCTGTTTTGCTTTCCTTGTTAATTCCATCCCCTCAACCCCTCTGCCCCCACCCCTACCCCTGACTCTAAAGTGAATTCCTCAGCAAATCCTGATTTAAAAGATGCCTTAGACCCTGCATTTTGAACTGGCTCCCAGAACTTGTTTTTGAAGATTTCTCCTCCCCTTCCCCACTGTCCCAACCCCTTCAGCCAGCCAGCTTGGCAGGCTTCATTCCAAGGTCCCAACCTGGACAAATCTGCGTCTTCTGGTACATTTTGCCACCAACTGACACCTGCCGGTCTCCTGGGGCCAGCTGAGAATCCACTGGGCATCAAGGACCATGGCAGAGACAGACTTGCATCAGCAAGAGCAATAACCCACAACTGTGGGCCCAAGCAAACTGCCAAATCAAAAGCAGTTCCATGCATGTTCTCTTTCTCAAAACTGCTGTGGTTAGGCATATCCCTCCGTGAACATTTTCTATTTTATTACTACTTTTTTAGTTTAGATCCTGGGTTTTCATTCTTTATTTGAATATCCTAGAATCTTGAAGTTTGTCCAAGAAAATGAGAATCACAGTATCATTACAAATCAGACCTCAAGAGGAATTTAAACCTGTCTCTTCAGAACTTATCAGTGAGGATGCTGAAGCCCACTGAAGCAGAGAGAATTACCCAAGGACATATAGCTAGTGAGAAACATATCCAGGGCTAGAGGTCAGGCCTCCTGACTCTCATTCAGTGCTTATACCTTCAATTTGTGTCTGTTTAACATATCCGTATGCAGTATACATTGCAGCCACCTGTAAGTGTTGATATTTATCCCAATAAGGGGATAAATAACAGATAACATTATTGAACAATTATTAAGTGGCAGAAATTGTTCTAAGCACTTGATTTGTGCAATATCACTTACCCTTGTGACAACCTAGATGGGCGTGGTCATCCTCGATTTGCAGTCAAAGTAACCAAGACCCGGAGAAGTTAAATAACTTGCCCTTGGTATGTAGGGGGTTCCTATTAGACTGTGGCTTTCTTGGGACTCAGGACTGTGGTCGCTGAACCCCTAGGGATGGATGGAGCCCGTGCCTGTCTAGTGGAAAAGAGGTGTGAGCACACAGTGAGGGCTGTAACAGAGGCAGGCACCAAGGTGGGGCCAGGGTAGAGCAGGAGGAAGATGGCAAGGGGATGGCATTTGAATGGTCTTGGGGATGCATAGATATTGTTAGCTGGAGAGCGGGTGCACAGGCGAGTGGGGGCACCTGCTGCCTTCAGGGAAGATCCCGAGGGGGAGAAACCCAGTGCCAGAAGGCAGAAGCTCAATGGCTGTGAGGGAGATGTGGAGAGATGGGGCTAGAGAGGTAGGTGGGGAGCAGACCGTGAAGTACTTGCCTCCCGAGATAAGGAATTTGGCCTATAGCCAAGAAACAGAGGGGAGCCCACAGCCATTTTTATGATAGGTAAGTGACAGGATCAGACTATTGGGGGTTTTGAGGGAAGAGACTATAGAGGCCTGGGCAGACTGGTGACAGAGGAAGCAGTTAGGGGGTCATGCAGTTGCCCAGGCTGAAGTGATGAGGGGCTGGACACCGTACAGCCATCTGACTGGCTCAGGCTTCCTCCCCTCCTTTGCTCACACTGCTTCCTTGGCTTGGAATGCTCTCTTCAGTCCAGGCCCGTCTTTCAAGACCAAGCTCAGGTGTTTGATCTGGAGGCTCTCCTCAGTCCCCACCCTGAATGGGCTTGTGTTCCCCCTCCTCTGGGTCTCCGCTACCTCTGGTACATTCCTCGTTCTCTCTTGGCATGCAGAAAATCTCGGTGCACATCTTTGTGTACATTTCTCTCTTCTGCTTTACACCCAGCTCCCTGAAAGCAGGACCAGACCTTTGCCTCCTGAAATGCTTGGCAAGGTGCCTGACATTCAGTGAGCTCTCAATAAATGTGTGATGAATGAATAAACTTTCTAAATAAAGGCAGTGACTATGGATATGGAAAGAAGAGGCCAAATTTGGGAGGTGATTTTTTTTGTTTTGTTTTGTTTTGTTTTGTTACATCAGGGGTTGGCAAACTATGGCCCACGGGCCAAATCCAGCCCACTTTATGTACTGCTTTTGTGAATAAAGTTTTATTGGAACACAGCCAAGCTCCTCTGTCCACGTGTTGTCTCTAGATGCTTTCACTCTACAATGGCAGAGTTAAGTCATTGTGACAAGACTGTGTGGCCTGCAAATGCAAAAATATTTACTATCTACTCACTTACTGAGAAAGATTGTCAACCTGTGAGTTAGAGGACCGGGATTAGTGACTGGAGATAAAGAGTGATGGAAAGGAGAGTCAAGACTTTTCCTTTTCTCACATCTCCTAACACAGAGCTTTGCTCTGGGGTGATTGCCTTGGCCTGTGGGCCTGCAGGCACTGAGAGAGAAAGACCCACGACTGTGGGGCAGGAGGAAAAAGGATCCTAGGAGACCAAGGGTGGGAAAGAGACCCCGTAAGAAAGGACAAGGGGCCATAGCTGCAAGGCGAAGTTTACCTAGATCCTGCTTCTTCCTGGTGAAGCTTCCCACGCTCTTCTCTCTCTTAGTCATCCAGTTTGGCTTTGTCACCCTCTTTGTGGCCTCCTTTCCTCTGGCACCTGTGTTCGCCCTCCTCAACAATGTCATTGAAGTACGGCTTGATGCAAAGAAGTTTGTGACCGAGCTGAGACGGCCAGATGCCGTGAGAACCAAAGATATTGGTATGTCCCCTTCTTAGAGATCATGGCAGGCCCTCCGCCTCCGTTGGTCCCCTCGGGCTCCCTGCCACGACCTGCCACCACCGTTGTACTCTGGATTCAGGAGGGCTGGGGGAAGCCCTTGCCTCTGTCCCTTGGAGCTCCTCATCCTCATATCTTTGGGCTCTGGGAGGCCTTCGTCCACACCCACTTGTCCAAACCCACCCTGGTTTCCAGACAGGGTGGCACATAAGCCTTTCTAGGCAAGCCCGTTCCTGGGGGGCCCTGCAAACCTCCACTGGTGCCTTGCCCGCGGAGCATCACCCTGGGCTGCAGCCTTGTCAGTCACCAGGCCAAGGGTGGGAGTGAGCCAGACGCCCTGCTTTCTGTCTTACAGGGATTTGGTTTGACATTCTCTCTGGGATCGGCAAGTTCTCTGTTATCAGCAATGTAAGTGTTCCATCTGTGACACCCTAGCTGTATGGGAAGGGAGCTGCACAGTGGGCCTCCAGAGGAGCTTAGGTCTTCAAAGCAGGGTACCAGCCCTTGTTACCTCCCAGCCTTTTCGTTTTGGAGCTTTGTTCAAGGCAGCTCCCTGGTTAATAGTGCGTACATGCCTTCTAACTCATCAGGCCGTGGCCAGGGCTCTGTGACTTTCTCGTTAATTTCACGACACGAAGGAAAGATAATTATCCACCGGAATGCATACCTTGGCCTTAAGAGTCAAAATCTGATCTCTCCTCAGAGCCAAGAATAATGAGGAAAGAATTCCGCCTATCTATCCATCTCTTTCCTTTCTTTTTCTACTCCCGAGCTAAACAATACCTGGACCGTTGCCCGGGCCATGGTTCCTAATTATGGTTCCTCTAAGCTGTCAATGTGAAGTCGTAATTATTCCCAGGGACTCTGGCATGTGTAGGTTAAGATAGGACATCCAAGAAGAGGGGTCCTACCTGTTGTGACCTCCTTAACTGCCTTGCCAGACACGTCCACATTTCTGAGGAAATCTTGCTGGGCCCAAGCCAATGGCAGCTTTGGCTTCTGCTTCCTGTGTGGATGGTGGCCGGGTAGGGCCTTTTGTTGGAGGAAAGTCCTGCTGGCCTGGCGCATACCAAGAAAGCCACCACCCATTTTCCCCCGGGAGAAAAACTTTGGTTCTGGCTTTGACTTGGTTGCCTATTAAGAACACATAAAATGACTAGAGAGGCATGAGGAGAAGCAGAGAGAATCAGCCCACTGCATTTTGAATGCTCGGTGTAGGAAGTGCACATCTTAAGGCTGACAAATAAGGTGCAATTTGGAAACTAGATCAGTAGATATTTTAGAGTTGTGTTACCTAGAAAAGAGGCCTTGCATACTAGGCACTTTCCATCATACAACAGAATGACAAGAAATCTTACCTCCCTGGCCTTTCTAAGACTTCTTTATTTATCTGTAAGAATGGGAGAGCATAAGATTACCCTCCAAAAAGGATCATTCTGGAAATTAACTGGGAAGATGAAAGGACCTATAGCAAGTGCTCAGTAAATTACTCATTCTCAAATATGGTTATGGCCATCCACACTCATATATACATTTAGAAAACAATGCCTAAACTACATTTTTTTAAAAAGGACTTTAACTGTTGGTGCAGAATACAGTATAAACACCTGCCAGAAAGATTTCAGATTTTCTTTGCAGAAAGTACCTCCATGTTCAAACATGCAATCATTCACTCGTTGTTTGGTTTGCACCATAGACATTTATAGAACACTTAAATATGTCAGACAGTGCGTTGGGTACGTGTGGTGGGATCAGGCAAGACCCACTCCTTCCCCCTCTGGGTCTCCGTGTTCCTATGTCAAATGGATGAAAGAACAACTTCCATTATATGCTGTGCTAAAAAGTGTTGAGAGACAATGGTCAAATGGAGGGAACTATGGCACCATATCCCTGGGATTCCTGGTTCTCTGGTGTCCCCCAGAGACAGAGGTTCATGGTCATCCAATGTCCTTGCATATCACCTGAAAGTGGCCCTCTTATCATGATCAGTAATTTTCTCAGAAAATCTTCCAATCTGCCTTGGCTTGGCCAACACCAGTGTCAACTCAAATATCTCAGAGGTGCTCATTCCCTCCAGAACCCAACAATCCACACTGGCTTAGCATCCTTAGCAACCAGCCACTGTCTAGTGGGTTCACTTACACATACCAAAGGTGGAAAAGCTGCATGAGCTCAGAGTAAGGACTTCTCTAGCAGAGCTGTGCCTCTGGATGGGGAGCCCAAGGGGGACCAGTCTCTCAGCCAGAGGGAACCTGCCCCACCTGGACAGCCTCCATCCTGACCGCCCCTCAAGCACCTGTGCTTCTGTACTTCAGGCTTTTGTCATTGCTGTCACCTCCGACTTTATCCCCCGCCTTGTGTACCAGTACGCCTATAGTCACAACGGGACCCTGCACGGCTTTGTCAACCACACCCTCTCCTTTTTCAACGTCAGCCAGCTGAAGGAAGGAACGCAGCCAGAAAACTCACAGTTTGACCAAGAGGTTCAATTCTGCAGGTAAAGTAATTGGGAGGAGGAGGGTGGCAGCAGGTGACCAGAAGTGGTAGATCCAAATTATTATCTGGAAGATCTAGATATATATCACTCTCCGCTCCCTCTTTCTTCTACCCTCAGCCCCCCAAGTCACTATAAATCAATTTCAATAAATCGATAAATATTTATTGAGGGCCTTTTGCCAGACACACAGAGCAAAGAAGTATATAGCCTTGTCTTTACCACCAAGGAGTTTGTGGTCTGGTTGGAAGAAGCAAGCAGAGCAGATAGGACAGAGCTGGCTATTCCGGGATTCTATCTAGTGTGGACCAGGAGCACTGTGGGTGTTCAGAGGAGAGGAAGATCGGTGGGGGCTAGAAAGGAGAGGGTAGGCTTCCTGGAGGGCCCAGGAGGAGTTGTAAGACAGAAAGAGAGGGTATGCTAGGTGGGGAGTCAGCATGGGCTAAGTTGTGGGGTGAGGATGAATTTGGGGTGTTAGGTGAACACTTAGGGGTTAGGTAATGTAGTTAGGAAGAAGAGCACTTAAAAGATAATAAAAAGGAATAATATAGGAAATACAATATATCAAAACTCCTAGGATAGTATAAGCCAAAGCATTGTTGAATTTGAATAGGTAGGATGAAGTCGATAATGGGAAATCTTGATGTATTCCAGGCATTGTAATGTGATGTGATAGGAAGTTACCTTTTTAGTACCAGGAATGATAGATAAAGTGTAGGCTTAGGACAATTAGTCTCAGAGAGAAGGATGGACTAGAATTGGGGGAACTCAGGGAGGGCAGCTGAGCTGCTGCCATCAGTCAGCCATGAACCATGGCGGGCATAGCCCAGAGTGGTGGAAGGAATTAGGAGGAGGTGAGGAGATGAGCTATTTACTGTAATACATGACAGCATTGGTGGCAAGAGACATAGAAGGAGCCCGAACCAAGGATATCTCTCACAGTTAGGCTGAAGTCAAAGGTGGGTCCATTGACAGTGATGGGGAAGATGCTAAAAGAATCCAATTTTATGGTACATATGATGAATTTGATTTCAAGCACATCGATTAAAAAAGTGGTGGGAAAGTTTTCACCTAACTCCGAGACACAATAAGCTGGAATTCCTGAGAGGTCCAGGTCAGAGTCATGATTGAAAACCACCAGCACGGGGATCATGGAAGCCAAGAAACAGAAAATTCTCCACTATTAACCCAAGAAAGGCAAATAAAGAGAACAGAGGAGAATGAATTCTTTAACCGTTTTGTACCCTCATGAGATGATAGTCCCCATGAAGAGCTTGAGCAAAGATCACATCTCATATTTTAAAAAATAGAGCAATAACTACAACAAAAACCAAAACCTAAGAAAGGTATTGAGGGCTTTTCCTGGCCATCCCCAAGCATGTCTGATGTAAGAGCTGGTGATCCCTCCGTCGAAGAAGCCATACCCTGGGTGCATCCGTCGTGCATTCGCACTTGGTACCTAAGGCCTGCCATTCGTGCAATGGCTGCTCAGGTTCAGACTCACAGTCTGACGCCACACAGGAGAGAAAATGAATTGGTCTTCCCAACCCAGATGACTGAGTGATGCAGCCTTACCAATGTGTGATTAAATGGTCCTAGCCGGGATAACTGTAGGGTTCCATTCTAGCCAACCGTGAGGAGACTCAAAACCGGGGACCAGATCTAAGATCAGGTAAGTAAACTTATTCACAGATCTTGATTTATGTCAGCCTAGAGGTTTCCAGTATTTGCCCATCTGAAGCTATAAAGAGTCTCACTCTGGGACTGAGGTCCTCTGCTGCTACATGATGCACTGCCCAGGGCCGCTCCGCTGTACGCCTGGCATACCAGACTGTGATACCAGGTGTTACATTCTGGCCTACAGGTCTGAGAAAGACATAGTTCCACTATACAGAGGCTGTGTCCCAGCTCGAGGCTTTTCTGGTGGCATCTAGACTGGCTCCAGCAGGGTACATGAAGCCAGTCAGCAGTCAGCACTGAAAAGTAATATTTACAAAATCATTTTTATAACCGGAAGGTATAGAAATGGTCTTGTTGAAGCTCCTCATTCTACATAAAAAGAAACCGAGGCTTAGAAAGGTGAAGAATTCTCTGAGTTACTGAGGTTTCCCTGACAGATTCTGAAGTAAAACTCACATTTATCCAAGAATGCAGGCTCAGTCCCCAGGCGCATTGGGAGCAACACCAGTGTGGGTTGTGTGGGGAAGCAAGGCTCACTGTGTGTTTTTTTTTTTTTTTGCTCTTTTAGATTTATTGATTGATTGATTGATTGATTTGAGAGCGAGAGAAAGAGCACAGATGGGGAAGGGCAGAAGGAAGAGGGAGAGAGAGAAACTAAGCAGACTCCCCACTGAGCATGGAGCCTGATGCCCAGCTCAGTCTCTTGACCCTGAGATCATGACCTGAGCCAAAAGCAAGAGTTGGACACTTAACCCACTGAACCACCCAGGTGCCCCCTGTGTGTTTCTTTTCCTTTTTCTTTCTTTCTTTCTTTCTTTCTTTCTTTCTTTCTTTCTTTC